TCCATCACGCCAGCTGCTATGATAATCTCTTCCAGTTTCATCACGTCTCTGTCACACTTGCTTCTTGATAGTTCTTTAAGCTAAGCCAGGTTAAGTTTTTTTCTCACGTTTAATGTTTGCTCTTACCTCTCCCTGTCCACGGAATGCTGATGGAAGAGCGTTCACACTCAGGAGATCTGTTTCTAGCTGAGTAATGAGTTCCTTCTGTTCCTTCACTGTGTTCACCGCTTCGTTGTATTGTACATGAAGTTCAGAATAACGACCTGAGAAGGAAAACATGCAAAAATAGAAATTAGGCCCTGAGCCCAACTCTACAAAGCTGAGAGCAGTATGTAACTGCTTGTCCATGAGTAGATCTGCGTTCGCTTTATTCCTCCCAGTACAGACTACGAGTGGAACGAGGTAAAGACCTCCCACATCACCCCCCAAAAAAGAAACAGCAGTACAAATCACTTTTTTCAAACATCTGATAATTAAATAAATCTTGATTTTCCCTTTCTCTTGGATTAACGTATTGCAGATAGCCTTTGACCAACCGTTGATAAGAGAGATGAGAAAAGGGAACTGAGTCAGGAAAGGCGATGCTTCAGTTATTAAATGCATGTAATGTTAAAACATACCTGTCAAATCGACGTTTTCAACCTTTAAACTTGTGTTTTCAGACTGAAGTCCTGACAACGACAATGAAGGTAGGATTAATACAAAGTGTGAACTTCAACTCAATTAATCGTGAGTGCCTATCAACTGCTAACGGATAAAAGTTCATCTTTAAGAGAAATGTAAAAGTATAATGACAGAGCAAAAACATTTTTTTCAATTGTACAAGCAGTTACATACTTTTATTCTTATCAAGAAGAAGCATCTCTAGAGATTTCGGAGTGGAGTCCTGAAACAAACAAATTAATAATTTTGTGGTGAGTACTTGCAGAAATAGCACCCACAAGACAATTAATACCTATTTTAAGAGTTTGGCTCCAATAGTATGTGAACCTTTTCAATGCCACATATATAGCGAGGAACTGAATTCTTGTTATGACAACATTTTACAGCGCAGCAACTAGGTAAAGAAATCAAAGCAGCATGTTGAAAGTGTTTGAGCGGATAGGTCTACTTTTAACAGAATCACAACAAAAAAAAGTGACAGATGAGTCATGTTGCAAGATCCTTGCAAAATTAGTTCTAACATGAAGATATTTGATTGTACAAACACAAGAGATTGCAAACAAACCATCTTTTCCGCATCTCTGCTCTCCTCGCTTGTTGAGAACTCAATTGATTTCAAAATGCTGAATAAACAAAACAATTAAAATGCATCAGCACATGCAAAAGTCAAAACAACAGTAAATATTTTTGTACTGATAAACTGTCATTGCTATACAGCACTGTTTTCAAGGGATTCCGCTGGAAAGGAAAAATCATCTTTATGTAACATCTTTAGAAAGTGGTGGGTTAAATCTTCTGCTCCAGCCTGAGAAGCTTGGGGGTAACTCCAACACTAGGAGGAAAAATTGGAGACATTGACATGTCACAAATCTTACATCTCACAACTTACTTCAGTTCTCTCTTGATCTCTTCATAGTTACCCTGTTCATCAAGTTTTTCCTCCTGGAAACAATGTAATATCAAGTTAGCAGAACAATGCCATGTTAATCCCATTCAGAATCAATTATAATCAGTGGCTTTTTTAACCCTTGTTTATTCATCTTAAAACAATGTGTACCTTGCACTCAAATCTAATAGATGAAGTTTTTCTAGTACAGTGTATTTTCCCCTTTTTCTGTAAGGAGTCAGAGAACATTCAGAGTAATCATCGTTATTCATACCAATTGTTGGAGGGCTTTTGTCTTGCTAGCAAGTTGGTCTTCTAGTCTGGCAATCTGTAGAGAAAAAAAAGAATTGCACAAAAAGATGAAGCCATGATACAAACAACAAGAACAATACACAGTACAACTGCTTGTACTTACCAGAACCAGTCCTTTCTAAAATTATTTTCATTAGAATACAATGCAAGCAGTGGTGGTATATCAATAAAACCACTTTAACTCTTTGCATTACTGCAGGCTAGTAGGAAAAGGCCTATAGATGTTGGTAAAACTTACCTCATTTGCAGTTGATTCTTTTAATCTGTTCTGTATCACTTGTGATTGTTGCACATCACTCACTAACTGAGATATCTGCAGAGGAAATAATACAATTTAGAAGGTGCATATTTACATTTACATCCACTGAATTTTGCTTTAGGAAGTTTTAGGAATGAAGTTTCATGGCTTTTTTTGCCTCTGTATATATTGCTATTTTCCACTCCCTGTGTTCCATATTAAATTTTACAGATGATTACTAAATAATTGAGTACCTGTCTCTCCTTGGCTGCTAACTCATGTTCCAAGCTTGAACGTGAAATTGCATCAATGGTCTCAGACTGCAGTTTTTGAAGTAAACAGAAGAGAAATGAAAAGAAGGCTTGCTGACAACCAGCATATATGTTGCAAATACAGTTTTATTACATAACTATATACTGAACAAATGACTGTGAAAATACATTGTTTGTCCAATAAGAGATAAGAACAATAGTTAACTTCATAATGGAGGGCAACAAATGGCTTCCAATCTTTGAAACGTGTCAGTCAGTAAATCTAAGTATGTATGGAATAAAAACATCATACCCAGGAAAGTGCTTGAACAATAGCATTTTTATTCACTCATTGAGATGCATCAATAAACTCACTCATTCATTTTTTTATGCATGGCAACTCATGAATAAATCATTCATGTGCACACATCATTTCGTGTGTACTTTCCTTGGAATAATCTCTATTTAATGTAGCTTCTTGTTAATTCACAAGTTACATTGAAACTACACATTTGCAGGAAAAGATGTTCCAGTAATACTTTTTTTTTTTTTTCAGAAAAAAAAATAGAAATCAAAGTGAAGAAACATAATAACTCACCATGTTTGGCCTTTGTTCATTGCCTGAATTCTAAAATACAAATATCATCAGGGTAAAAGTAATTTAGAAATTGTCTTCTCATAATACATAGATTATTTCTTAAATTTTAGTTCGAGGATGAAAAAGTTTTACAAATTTAAACATTTTTACCATTATATTTAACATAGATTTGTCATAGATTATTATTGTCCTTTTAAAAGTTGTAAAAGTTACTTAATTCAGCCTTCAGGCTGTGATGTGATTTAAATAAACCATCTATCCAAACCCTTTTAACTAAGGATGAATCATACAGTGGTGTCTAGATAATTTCTGTTAAAAGGAATTACAATAAGAGATGGTCACACATCCCAACAAACCTGTAGGGCATTCTGTGCTGCTATAAGCTCTTCTCGCAGAGATTCAACTTGCCTCTCAGCACTCAATGCTCTCTAGAAAAAAAGTAAGAAAAATGAGTAGAAGTACTCTTTGATCCTTTAAACCCTAAGAGTGACCAACATCTAATTTCTCCTTACAGTAATAATGCTAAACCATTCATTAAGAGAGTAAAGGAAATGATTGCCAACCTAAGAAGCATTGATCTTCAAATGAATTCTCCTTGTCAGTACCAAAAGAATCATAATAATTATGGTGAAGAGTATGTAGAATATCGATACTGATGTTAGGGTGTAAAGGGTTAAATTACTGGGTAACACTTTTCTTTCATCAAAAAAAAAAAATGAAAATGGAGAAGAAAAAAATTGTTTAAAAGGGGAAGGTTTGTATTGGCTATTTAAATGAAAGTAAATTTGTTGGAAGCACAATTACCTGACTGTACCACTATACTCAGGATTTGGAAGGATAAAAAAATGTAACAGACGTTATAATTTTTTAAGCAACACAGGATAAATGCTTGTCAGCCTTTAAGCAACTTAACCCAGGAGTACAGTTCAGCACACATTATCAATCAAGCTCTCTTCATACCATTTCATAAGACACACACAATATTTCATTGTCCAGAGATGAACAAATGTATGCTAAATTCAATGTGATAAAATACAATTTTGTAATCATTTGTGTGCCAAACCTTTATTTTTAATTCCAAACATCAAGACCTTAAATAGGTACATGTCTAATTAAGGATAAAGTGGTACCTGATTTGCTCTTTCTACATCAGCCTCTAGTATTTCAATTTCTGAAGACCTTGTTGGGGAAAGAGAACTGTGTTAATGAAATCTTTTTGACCAGACGGACTGAGTGACTGACTATCTGACTGACTGTCTACCTGATTCTTAAGAAACTGCTGCATCAGTGAGGGAGTGCCACAAGATAATTTGGTTTTATCAACAGAGTTGATATTGTAAATTGGCCACAGAAAAAAGTTTCTAAGCTGACATTTTGTCAAAACATCAGGATAGAAACTCTTGACTGTGGCCAATTTACAGTTGTATCAACTCAGTGATTATCTTAGAACTGAATGACTCACTCTTACTGACTGATTGACAGACCAAAACAATGAGAGCTCAAGCTTCACAAACATAACAAGATAAAAACCAAATTGAGACAAAAATGTGGTATCATGTTGGTGTCTCTTTTATGAGCAAAACTATAGTTCAGGATCCTAATACTCACACCTATATACCACACAGGTGAATGGTGTTTTTCACATACACAGATTGGCTGGTTTGAAAGTGATTAGCAAGTACCATATTTAAACTTGTGTATAAGCTGCACCC